TTTTTTTTTTTTTTTTTTTTTTTTTTTTTTTTTTTTTTTAATAGATACGCGTGTCCCTGCTTAGCTTATGCTGCCTGCCGACACTGGCTGATGTCAACGTCTCGATTTCGAGGAACAGATAGTCCGGGATATATACCGTTAAAAGATTTATAGGTATAGAGGTTTGCATAGGATATTGATTCAATAAAAAAAGAAAATATATAGTCGATTTTTCGAGCAACCTGATAGCTAATGCTCTCAAGATGGCAAATTGCGTTTCTTCTGTTTTCTTAGCTACTTTTTACATATTGAAAAAATCGGTATTTATCGTTTGTGGGACCGGATCGTAAATAAATTATTTTTTCACGGATTTTCCGAGTCTGTTGGGAATGTGTGAATTGGTGGGAAAAAAAACGTAACTGTACTCCCTACTTGCTGGATAATTAGTCGATCCACGAGTATTTGTGGATTTTATTATTTTTCTTAATTCTTTTTTTTTCTTTCAATATGTAAATTTCACATATCAGTATTGGCAAGCGAACGTATATCCCATGAATATGCTTGTGGTCGTATGGTGGTTTGAGAATTTGAAACAACGATGAGTCCTGGTTTTATTTTTGTGCCAGTGACAAGTGGATTTTTTGCCTTTTTTGACCAATGGTATAAAAGAGGTAGGAGACATCTTAGAGTCCTCATTTGACGAGAGGACGTCATCGTGCAGTCGTTTCACCTGCTTCTTGTGCCGGGGAAGGATATTAGCTCGTCCTTTTCAGAGGGTCAATTCACTGATAAGGATAGATAAGACTGCGTGTGAGTTAACAGTCCGTATTACGTAAGTTAAAGAATTAAGAATTTTCAAAAATTTCAATAAATCGCATACTGACATTTTAATCAGTGAAAATATTCGAATTTTTGTCCACTACGGAGACCTTAGACATAACCTACAATCAGTTCTTACGGAGACGCCGAAGAATCTAAAACAACCTAAAGTAAATTTGCATCTAATGAAATCCTTGATAAAAAAATTTGAAAAGACCCAAGAGACGAATCATTGAAAAAATGCTCGATCCCAAGAACCGTCATGCGAATGAAAAGGGACGTTAGTAAACACCGCATTAACCTCGTAGTTCCTGATCCTAGCAGTGGCGTAGGATTGAAGTAAATGATAGCACAATGTCGATACATATCTTAAGCAGAGGGCAAGTCACGTTTCCGCGATCATTAATATCATAACGCGGCACAGGGTATAAAGGAGTAAGTAAAAAGAAGAGGAGGACATGAAAGGAAGAATAAAAAAAGAAATAGCAAGTGATACGGAACAGAAGCAGACAGCTCGTGTGGAGTTGGCATTGCCGTGGTGGTAGAGCAGGTCGGAAAGAATTGTTCTACCTACTGCAGAGGGAAACTGCGGCTGTGATTTATAGAGAGGAACTCTGGGGCTCCAGTACGTGTTCCTGGCTGGAAGGCTGGTTGAACCTCCCATATGCAGAATGCTCCAGTTCCCACGCACCACGTAGTTGCTTAAGCGTTCACTACATGCTCGACCATGTCGCGTATTTATATGCAATGTATGCATTCAGGTTACGCACTAGAGCCAGTAGGTACGTAGACGACGAGCAACCTCAGCGATGATCAGGGAGTAGTTCACGAACCCGGAAGGATCCATCCAGTGAATCTGTTAATATATTTTCATGTACGAGTTGGTACATTCTACAAAGTCCATCTTGTATATGTCGTGCCTGTTTGTTTTAGAGTTGGCGAGCCTTGGCGCTTACTCCTGGAGGAAGCTACTGGACTGTAAATTATTACAGCGAGCAGTCACGTCGAAATCCTTTGGTCTGCTGGTCTAGAGCAGTGTGAGGTGCTGAATCGTGGGGGAGGACAGATCATCCTGGTCGAGATGGTTATATCTAGGATATCGCACCAATACCCTGGGATACCGGCGGATTTGTCGCTTTTGTTCCAGTAGTAAAAATTGTACTAAGATGAAAAAACACGAAGTGAGCCTCGCGGCCGGCTGGAATTTCGCCAAATAATATACTGGCACCCTATCCCAACTAGGCTTGTATTACTCTAGCTTTATCTCTATTCCGTATACATCTCTCGCTTGCTCCTGGTGGTATCATACCCGACGAGTCGGGACTTTTATATTTATTACGGAGCCTGTCCGGAGATTGCGAGTAGCGAGTGAACGCCGAGTGGAAACCAGCCCATATTTTCGTCTTTTGTCATCGGGCGTAACCATCGAGGCCTATTGCCATCGAAATGGCACCATCGTGCAGCAGCCTGGAGAGTCCTGGAATAATGTACACAGTGCCTGGAAGATATAAGAATTTGTTAGATACGTACGTCATCATCCAGAGTACAGTTGGCAGGTTGGTATCCCGTACAAAAATCGACGACCAGCCTTAAAAGAACGTGTGGTTTGGGTTTTGAGGTTAGAATTATTTTATTACTCCTATCTTATTATACTTGATTCCTTTTCTTTTGACTCTTTACAATATCCTATTCCGTGACTTATTTTCTGTATCTCTCTTATTCAGTCGTCCTCGCCTCTCCTATACACTCCTCTCTACCGGCAACCGAAGTTAAACTGCCGAGGTGGTGATTGATGACTCCGGTCTACCTAATGATCGGCCACTGAAGACCACGTCTTTGACCGGGTAGGTAGTGGAAGCAGGGAGCGATAGGGGCAAAGTGTTAAACGGACGAGCCCAGTCATTATCCCCGATTTTGCAGGAATTAAAGGGCTGATTACTCAAGCGCCGCACCCTTGGCCAAACTAGGTGGCGACCTTAAGTTAACTACTTGCTGCTGCTACTGGGTTTTCGACTACCGTGTCAGCCTAGAGTTGATAGCTACGTAAGTACGTACACGAGTACTGAGATACGTATATCTGTATATGCAATATAAATTTCCTCCTACTGCAATACAGACAGGAGCAACGTCATAGGCACTAACCTTTAACCCTGAGGGAAGTGCCTCCACTCCCAGGAGTCTATTTTTCGGATGGAATTTCTCAAGAAGTTAAGGGTGCAACGTGCACCACCGGTTATAACCCTGCAGGCAGTAACTAAGGCCATTAATCGCCGCCATATTGCCCACCTCGTCTAGTCAACCCTCTTTCCTCACACTCGGAGCACTTCGAGTAGCCGGAGTACCTACCCTACCTACCTACCAACCTACCCACCTACGAGGCAGTAGGTTTCTCCGCCAAGTGCCAACATCACTGGTGGTACATACCATCACCATCAGCATCACCATCCCTGGACCCTCGACTGCTCGTCAAGTCGCCAACTTGGAAATTGCTTCCCTCATTTATAACCGGGCCACTGTCTGACCTCCGCTCATGCTCCTTCGTTTCTGCAAGTTCACCCTTGCGATCAGCGAACATGACACCCCAGCACCCCAAGATCATTGAACCCTTCTGTAATCTATAGATTGACGTCACCCTCCACCTTTCAAGAATGCTTTACAATCGTTAGTGACATAAGAGTGGAGCTTCCGTTTCCGGAGGTCCCGGATAAGAAATGCTAATTGGACAATTTTATCCTAGTCCAATTTAACATCCGGCTATTTCAAGATTGCGCATCGATTGGATTTGGAACGCATACGTCATTGGATCTGTTCTATGGTCCTGGATTCACCAGGAAGATTAGCTAAACGGAAGGGGTTCAGCCTGAACTCCCGTGCATTTCCGATTATCTAAATCCCCCTGTCTACCAAATGGACTTACCTTAAGTCCATAAACAGGATTAAGATTTCCACCCAGAGATATGATCTTCGGCTAAGGACTCCATTACCCGACTCGGTTGTTGCACATGCAAATGGAAAGTTCGCACTCTCGCGAATATCGCACTCCCAGTTTTCTATCTCTGTGTACAACACTTGTATAACATAAGTAATGCAGTAACGCGAAAATTAGATACGTGCACGCTGATTGCTCGACTTTCCGAACTGGTTCGTGAGACCGTTGGATTATTTTGCAAGATCGTCATTCGAGCACAGTTTCGTGCGACATCATCCTTTATCCCAGAGAACGGTGTACATCTCGACGATTTAATTAACTAGATTTTCATTTTGTTACGTAACAGTCAGAAAAATACACAGAAATGTAAATGACAGAAAGGTTGAGATTGAATCGATGAAATTAAAAAGACAATGTACCTTAGGTAAAATGATCTCTCGCAATCCTAAGAGTTATAACGAATGGACTTTTAGTTAAAAGAAAATTAAATGCAAACTGTATACAGTCTTCTGAGTCATAGAGGATGATTCTCTCCGTTATCAATAAGCAGTCCAGATCTCAACAGACCCGTGGAAGCGAACTCAGATCCGAGAACGACGCCTGGCGTCTCTGTCGCGCATGCACACTTACATACAACGTAAACGGATAACAAACCGATAGCCACCTCCGTAAATTATTGCTTAAAGCCTATTAAGATACGCTGCCTAGTAACAAGACTTGTTCTTGTTCTTTAGCAACACTTGTTCTTATCGTTATAAACGGCGCCATGTTTAACTACGCATATAAACGTCCAGGCTTACGCACGATGATATAAGAACAATCGATCGCGAGTATTCTTCCATCTGTCAGCAGCAGGGTCTTCGGAGTCTCACGTGGTAGCCTGTTGAAATAGAAAAAAATGAAGTGAGAAAACAAACAACAACAACCAGCATAGAAAGTCCTACGGTAGGTAAAGAAGATTTCACGAGAGTAGGAAACGTACCGTTCGCAATTATGCACACACCAGGCATCCGCAATTACGTGGCTGCATCAGAAATCGGCGATTCAGGACGCCAGAGTCTCTTTCTCTCTCTCTCTCTCTCTCTCTCTCTCAGTACACTTCTCAGTCTCAATATCTCTCGCAGTCCCCAGCATTACTCTCGTAGTACTACAGCACCGTAGTACATACTCGCAACGTACTAGGAACGCCTGCGAGCCAGAGATTGCAGCGTAGAAAGATTCTGGTTCGATAGTCAGTTACCCTGCGCGGAATGAACCAGATTATTGGCTGAACCCTGACCGTAGAATTACGTATTCGATAAAAGTCCAATGAATTTTTACAATGGATGCGTGCAGCTCGCGTATAGAGGTATCCGTCGTACTTAAAGGCGCAACGGAGCGGACTTGAGGTAGGGAGGATCCGGGTCACAGATCAGCGTCCCGCGTGAGCTGAAGAGCCATGGAGCCCTGGGTCCCATCGAGAGCGCGTATCGCGAGCAAGGGGTACCTGGTATACCTGACTGCCAGGTTGCCTTTCTGCCTCCTTACCAACCTACCCACCTCCATGCCAACCTAGTCAGTACCGGGTACTTGGTACCTGACTACCTCGAACCACCCTCGGGCCACAAAGTTCACTCGTTCAGAGAAGCATCGAACCGCGACGGAACTCACGCACTGGACATCTGCCTGACTTGTTACAGGACGAAAGCCTGGTTAAACTTTAGTCTTGTATATGTATATATTATATCCTACCGAAACTCCATGAACGCCTTGAACCTTATATATATATATATATATGTATATATGTATATAATTACGTATTCGTGTCAGGTTGAGGGATGGACGCAAAGTGGTAATGCTGATCGTCTGGAAGACTGGCTTCAGACAGTTGATCAAATAGAAATGAGATTCATAGTTTAACAGATTGATCGGATGCCGAGCAGATTGTTCATGGTAATTATTGAACTCGTTTCAACTTATTCTTGAACCGGATTACGACTGACTGATCTGATCTTTATGTCTTGCTAATTTCGTCTATTTCTCTTCAAGCCGGTCTGCCAACGCTGTTATCGGAGCCTATGGCATTCTGATGGATGGGTAAGCCAACGGTACCAGAGTCATGGACCATTTACGATTGGTAACAATGCGGTTGTCTGGTATGGATATTCCAATGCCGGGGAATGCGACGTCTAGGAGGATGCGCAGCGAGAGGAAGAAGGGGGGAGAGCGTTCCTCTTAAACGATAGTCTTAAAAGTTCTTGCCGACTGGAGAGAGGAGAGAAAACGTGTCTCCGTATCTATTCTCCTCCACTCCCTCTTCCTGGCAACCTTAACGGAAGGCATTCCCCGAGTTACGTTGGGAATTATACGCTGCCTTTGTTCGTAATTCTCCAGGCTGTGATGCTCTTGGCGGCAGTACACTCTTGCATAATAATATTTTGTACCATACCCGCATAGGTATGTACCTGGATGCTGGGGTATACCTGGACCGACTTTCCATGCTTGGATCTTCTCTCCGTGAGGACCGTAGTCATCCGTTAAAACGTTACCGGCTTGAAGTGGATGCAATGGGAATCCGTTGACGCGTAGACGTACAAGAGCCAGCAGAATTCCCGACGTCGAGTACCACCAACCTAACCCATCGACGCCCTGAAAAAAAGAACGGCGTCCCGTTACGGAAGCAAAGATGCGTAGATAAATATTTAAATGAAAGCATAGTCCGAGGCGCGCGTAACTTCCGGTTTAGGATGCATTCTCGTTGTTCGAATAGCGAGCGAGAGAGACAGAGCCCATGGTAATTTCTAAAGGAGGAAGAGAGACGGACATTATGAATTTATCGATTAATTATATCCTTGGAATAATTGATAGTCTTTTTGTCAATGAATATCACTGATTCTAGTGTCTTTTATATTAATTAAGTATTATGCTCGATCTACATTACTAAATATATATATAAATCAGGGTCGTGCATGATTCATGGGTCATAGTTGTATATCGACTTTCGTTCAGGGGATATTACACTGAGGTGATGATGATATATGCAAACAGTAAGCAGCAATAGGAAAATATGATGGGATGAAAAGAAAAAAAAAATGGGAACTTTAACAGAGTATTAGGTTTAACAGAGTGAAAAACGGAGAAAGAGAAAGAGATGGTAAGCAAGAAGTCGATAGCTATAGGTATACTATGATCGTGCGGAGATCTCGACTCCCCTGGAGTTCACGCTCCGGGCCGTGAGGTCATTGGGCAGCCTGCTCGACAACAAATCATGGCTAATGATCTACCCGTACCTTACCGTGCCTTACCGTGGAGGAGGGTCTGGCTCCTCGATGCACGAGCCTCTTAGTCAACGCGAGCTTCTTCCACGCAAAGTAGTCCGTTCTTCTTGGGTACTATCTCTTGATCACTTCTATATATATTTTGTGTCCTCCTTCCCCGCTCGCTGTCTCTTCCCATTTTCCATGACTGCCTTCTGCATTTAATTTAATTACGGCCCGTGAATGTCACGTTCGGTCCACTCGGGCCTCCTCCACAGGAAAACATGAAAAGCGAAGAAGATGCGTTACGTCAGATTCTATCATTGAAAAGCTACTTTTCTCATACAGCTATTCCCGTTGTATACGTCATTTTGTATTTTGAATCTTTGCTTAATACGCTCTTATGATATACTGATATATGATTTTGATGCGGTGTATATTGACGTCCATCATAAATCTGGCTTCAAACGAATTAATTGGTACAAATAGGAATTAACGGTGAATACCTGATGAGTATCCAATTAGATAGCGAAGAGGATGAGAACTACTGCGTGGGTGGAGGAACGAGAGAATAATTATGAACCGAGGATGACCCTGTCCTGTTTGTGTCCTAGAGGCTCCTGTCTCAGAGCCAGGCACACACGTATCGGTTAAATATCACGGAGAATATCACGTATAGAAGCGATCATATGCGCCCAGAGTACGTCTAGTCTCGTACACAGAAGTGTTCTTAGGTCAGCCGAGGTCACCAGCAGCGTAAAGTAATAAGTCTCGTTGGTCGATCCTGGGTGATTTTATTCCAGCCATGAAGCAGAGCCTAGAGTTTGGATGAGATCAGCAGAGTGAATTAAATTTGATACATTTAACGTACCTAGATACAATGATTGGATCAAACCTCTGTTTTATTGATCTCGTACGCACGTGCGTTCCCGATCAGGTACCTGGAACTACGTAGAGTGGTATTGCAAGTGAAGAGGATGAAGAAGAAGTCGAGGACGCAGTGGGCGGTTCTACGTGCGTGCGTGATCGTGATCAGGATCGTGAGGTAAGATAGGGGGGTCGGTATCGTACACCTTCCTCTTGGTACAGTCACTACGGGGTGGTCCAAATGTAGTGGTCGCTATCGGATCATCTAAATTTAATTAGTATGTAATAGATGGTTATACTGTCCATGGTGTAACGATATCTTCTTCATAGTTTCTCACGCAGTGACTCTATCTAGTTTACCTTTCATCTTATTATTCGATATTTTGTTCTTGGCTCTGCTAGACCTTCCAGAAATTCAACGTCACGTCACCTGGTCCGAGGTATGATCAGGGGTCATTTCGTTCTCATTGGTCCAGGAGCATCGAGAAAATTCCTCCTGCAGGCGAATGCAATAACTTGTATACCGGTCAGGTCGGCCGGTGGACGAGGACGAGGTTGGTTCGTTGAAATGTAGGAGGTGGAGAAGAACCTAAGGAAGAAGAATGAAGAAGAAGATGAAGCGGCATACGACCCAGGGTATTGTTAGGAAGGCGGAGGAAGGCTGGCCAACCTCTGTCACGTTTCACATTGCACGCACCGAGACTTTCTGCACTGAGGTTCTTCTTCTTGTTCTTCGTCTTTTAGTTATTCTTTATCTTTATCCTTATCCTACGGGAACTGTCTTCTCTCCGACTCCCCCGCAAGCTGATCACAGTCTGATCTTACCGTCTCTGGACCGACGTGATCCGACGTGATGTCTTTATGGTTCTGCCGATAATAATGTTACCCCAACGCAATGTAACGCACTGGAACCTCCTCGAGTTGCCAGCACTGCTTAACCAGACTTCTATAACCACAGCTGGCAGTGCCGCTGAATCCAATCGAACCGAAACGAAATCACAAAGCGGAAAGCTCCGCTATGGATGGTGAAGAATCGACGTTATTTTGTTACTCGGGATTCTCCAAACTCGTTGTCCATTGTTAACCTGAAAATTATAAAAAGTAAATTCGAAAAATATACACGTTTCTCTATTTTTCATATTCTATACGTGGAAGTTGTATTTTTTTAAAAATGAAATCTGGGTAGAGATTAAATTTAATGAAAGGAAGCATTACGGCACTATTATCCGTTTACAATGTTTTCAGTGTTGTCGGTATATCAAGCACAGAATAGTGTAAAATTTCGTATTCGAAAACCACAGTGAATCTCTATAACCAGAATCATCGACGCGAAGTAACTCGTATACGGTTGAATTTCAAATCATTGATTTTGTCATATCTGCAACGACCCGTGTCAAGAACTGTCTATAAATACATATCTCGTTCACATGAATTTTCATCGAAAATCTTCCTTACGTAATTATACGGATTCATCATTGCGGCTCGACCTCAGCTATTCCGTATACGGTTATACAGTCAGTTAGAAATTTCCAAAAGCTGGAAACGCTCATATTGCCGCCTGGTGCTGGTCGGAGACAACTGTGGAAGTAAGGGAGAAAAAAGAATTTAGAGCAAAAGGAACTTCGCGATTTAAAAAAGTAAAACATGCGACAGTGCCAGTTTACGCCGCATACCCACACTTTATTGTTGTACAGTTTACGTTCGTTATTCGGTTTAGTGTAGCGTTTAAGACTTATCGCAGTTGCATTCAACATTTGAGATACAGCCACACGTTTTGTAGATCGAACTATTTCGTAACTTCACGGCCACTGCTTGCGAAAGGATAGTACCAGGATAACCACCCAAAACGATTCTTCGGTCTAGGTGGTACAAGATGTTACAATGACCTCGTGTACACGTGTACGATTATCCTGAAGCAAAGAGAAAACAAAATTTAAGAGAAAAACAAACTAAATAGCTTTTTCATATTTTTTTATTATACAAACTTCGTTATGCAATTAATTAGTGAATGTACATAATTAGAATTTTGTATAAATAGAAAATAAGGAAATTTGACCATTCAACCGTTTAGGGATTGCTTGAAAAACTTTGGCTCTGAAATTAAGATAAATCCGTGATAAAATCATTAGTGATTGCAGACGAACAGTGAGTCATCGAGCCTAATACGTTTTGAATAATAAAATTGTGAAAAAGTATAAAAACACGCATGAGAATGCACATAAGAATACACGTACTTTAGAAAAATGCAGCAAGAAGAAAATGGGGTAAAAAAATTAACCGGAAATTTTCAACAATGCTCAAAGGTATGGTAAGGGGTAGTTTTCACGTACCAGTAAAGGGGGCAGAACCGTAAACTTCCCTAGTACGTACACTGTACTCTACAATGTATCTGTTGACTCTGCGAGGTAGTTTAGCGTTTTGTCGGCATAAAGAGGATTTCTGTCTCGTCGTATTTCTCCAGCTGTGCTCCATTCCGACCCCTTCTCATAGGTCGATAACAAACCCTCGCAAAGGTATTCTATAGATGACATAAAATAAAAGATGAGTTCGAAAAAACCCTTGAAAATGTATCTCTGGAGACCATGTTATGCAACCATACCTTCTGTAGACACTGGATTTTCCAATAGGTGTAAAGAGAAAATTATACAGCGAATAAAGTTGATGGCTTTGGGAACGCCATTGTTTTATCTTACGAACTGAGTAAATAATCGATTAAACGATTACAGCCTTCGACTGGAAGCTGAACTTGGTGCAACCTCGATTTTCATGGGTCACGTAAAGTCATAGTACGATTTCACTCTTCTTCCTTACTGTGTGCAGGTACGTAACTGCATATATGCATTCATACATAGTACATGCAGTGCATAAGTGGCGCTGTGCTTCGGGGTGAAGCTTTAAACTCCCATAACTCAACTCCCTCTGTTATTCAGGTTGGATCAAGTTGTTATTAAGACGACACCAATAAGGTTAGCAGTACGGCTTTATTACCGCACTACGGTAATAGGCCAGTAAGTTGAGCTATCGATTTACTCCAGTGATTTATGGTGATTCGGTTATTGGCAGGAGAGTGAGTGTAATTCCGTGAATATATGTAGTGCGCAGATCCATGCATGTATTTTCATCAAGCATTTACTTCGATCGAGACCTGAAAAAATATATAGATATTATTTTACGCCAGTGAATTGTGAACCTGACTTTAAGAATACGAACGACGAGTCTATGTTGACAATTTCATTAGTGTCGTTCCACAAGACTAACGCGAGCAAGAAATTGAAGATTGGTCAAATCACTTTGGTAATCTTTTTGGTCGGTTTCCAATGAAAAAAAAATCGTGACTGGAATATCCGCTTGAGAAACGTGACGTTAAAGTCATTCAACGTGCAATGAAACTTCTAGAGGGTGACAAATTATATTTTTCACCTAAAAGCGAATTCTCACGATCACGTCTTGTACGTAGCTCGATTCGAATGTCGGCTCGTGCGACAAGGTGATGGAATTTATATTTCTTTTTAATTCACGATCATCGATAATTTCCTATATATAAAATCTAGATCAGGCTAACGACCTGATACAATTCAGGCTAACTTTAAACGAACTTATACATTTGCCTCCGATAGTTAAATCTAAAAATAATATCGGATGGGACAATTATCCGAATAAGGCAGAAGAGAAAAAGAATGTTCTTCGTCCGCTTGGTTCATGGTTTCAGAAGAAGCAACAGACGATCTTGGATTGTTGGCAAATTTATTCGCGCGAGACTTTGTACCAAAAGAAATATGGGTAATGAGGTGTCTTCAAGTCTTTCTTCTGTCCTTTTTTTCAAAGATTCTAGTCCCTTGATCACTTTTCGCGTTTTGTAAACGCATAAAACGTAGCCGCAGGTATAAACACCGTTATACACACTCACCGACACTGAAACTGTTTCATAGTCTACGATTTATGGGATTCCCGAAATTTACAGCAAAATCGAAGAAAATACTTTAAATAATAGGCTCTGATAATTAAGAAGGCTTCGATCAATTAGAAATTCCAAAGTTCCTGCAAGTAGAGCTGTCAGTTTTAGAAACGTCAACAACCTGTCTAATACGTGTAAAAATATCATGCGTAACCTCTAACCATAATAAGCATATTAAAAAACTTTACTGTTACTTAACTTCAACTAATCACATTCAAACATTTAACTACATGTATGAATAGACAATTTTCTAAAGCAATAAATATACGTTCAATATTACACACACCCACTGTCTCTTGACGAAGCTCCTTGTTCAGACAGACGTTAAACTAGAAAACGTAGGAAATCTTTGCTACGCCATGGAAACTGAAGTGCCTCTCGTAGACGCTTTTGTAGTTAACGAGCGACACGTAATTTCCCTAGTGAAGTTTTCTTCTAGTTTTACGTGAAGAAGTGACGAATCAACAATAAGAAGAGCATTGAAAATCGGACACGTAAGTGTCCATTATTCACATTCAATATCAATCAACGATTTTACGTATTTCTGACAGTAGCGTCCTGTTTTCTCACGGATTGCCTCTTACCAATTGCTTGATCCCCTGTTGTTTACGCCAATGGAGGAGATCGTGAGTCAGCTAGAGCTCTTGACTGGTTCGCTGCGGCTCGATTGCAGTCTGCGAGATCTTCGCTTGATTTTAAATTAGCCGACTTTTAATACGCGTGCTATTGCATGCCACGCTGATACGGTCGGCGCGTTCACATTTATGCGCCGATGATGCTACCTATTGGCGGGAAGAACGGTGAGTTTAAATGCTGAAAGGACGTAGCACTTTGAATTATTATGTTTAATGTATTTCTAATTTATGACAGGAGACTGCAAGGGTTGGTCTTTCGTGGAATCGATTGGAAATTTGCAAACTCATTACTCGAGGGTTATTGTGTATCGGAAGTGAAGTGTGGTGAGTAATCGATGAGAAGAAAGGATAAAAGAGGGAGACAAATAACCAACTAAAAAAACTTCCTGAGACAGATGTTTGGGAAGCGGTAAGGGAGTGTTTAAATTAATTAAGGGTAATATGACAATTAGACAGTAGGGTAATAATAAAAGGACTGATGGAGGGGTCAAAAAGTGCCTCGGGCCCAAACGATTTTCTCAAAACTTACCTAAAATTGTATGGTAGCCATGAATATATTAGTAGTCACTTTTTTCTTTTTCTTCTTCTTATCTTCTACACGCTTATTTTCACTGACAATGCGGACAAGAACGTCGTACGGGACTTCGGCTTTTGTATCTACCTATCTTCTAATCTACTTTTTATTTCTTTTTATGCAGCAAAACGCATCCGCCGCACCTCACTTGTCACGAGTAGTTAATAAATAGGCGGCTAATGAAAATCTTTATTAGACGTGACGACGCTAATCAGCCAAGCTAATGACCTTACATGGAAGATAGAATTGGTAAGTACATTAAGGCCAGAAATGACTGCCTATTATTATACAGTCACATACTGGGTTCACAAATTAGTCAAAGATCAAACTTTACCTAAAACTCGAAAAACTGTTTTTCTTGACTATCCCGACTTTTCTGACGAATAAATATTTTTTCTACAGGATGAAGCTTCTCAAAGGAATTCTTTAAATATCATTAACGATTTATATGCATGCATACATGATGCAGGTCGTTAAGAACTTCAATCAGCTAAACGCGACCATAGTAGTAAAATCTGCTCGTTAAACAGCAGCAGATTGATAAGGTGATAACTGAAGAGTCATCATTCGAGCTACGTTAGGGTGATTCGTGTAATATTCAATTAAAATATCAGCATAAACTAATAATACAATTTTAACAATAAACCATATAGTAACGTTAAAGGATAATTTAATGAATTATTAATTTAAATCGTAAATCAAAATTTCAAAAATTTATTATCTATTATATTTATAATATATACCATCAATTTTCTCCAACTGTCTACCAGAGTAGATTCGCTGACCCGTTAAATTTCGTAACGTCGCCATTAGAAGTAACGCGGAATCTTTAATCACCGCGTACCTTAAATTTTCCTCCAGGCAACGTTCCTCGAGAACCAGCGATTTCCCCATGGAATTTCCATGTTCCGGGTTGACCTCGATGATAAAGCTAGCAAGGTCGTGAATAGCAATGAGAATGTTCCTCCAGACGAGATGTCCTCTAATTTTCGTTACTTCCTTGAGAAGACCTACTGCACCCACGTAGTACCAGAAATTGCAAGTGAAGGTACGATAATTTAAAAAAAAAAACCTAAAAATAACCAAAAGCAGAATAGCCACTAATATCCCCATTTAACGAGTCAAAATCGAATTTCGAAAATTTGTAAAAAGGAAACAAACTATCACACGCCTTAATTTACATTTAAAAGTATTTATCCCGCTATGAGAGCATACTATATCCACATATGTATATACATATATACCACGTGCATCAGGTATTTCCTTTATACGTGCGTGAGAGTGCAGGAGTGCGTGCATGCGTGGTGCCAAGAGAGTATTCATCAGGATGAGTTCCTAGAAATGGCGTGCGGTATCATCCAGCAACATCCCGCATGCCACGAGCTGCGTAGGTGATACATATAGACGGTAGTATATAGCACATGGAGAATAGTATATAATATATATATACATAGTGATGAAACTGGTCGCATATAAATATATAGATATAGAGGCAATGCGATCCCACAGAAAACGCAGTGCACGATCTATTACGTATGAATGCGTGGAGTTTGCGTATATATAGTCATATACGTACGTTACATATATGTATATATGTATAAGAACTCAGATAAAGGGCCACCAGGTAGGTTTTCAGGCGTGACGTAGTCGATACGAATGAGAAAGACTGGGATAGAATTAAATGACAAGGATTCGTACGCCTAATGGTATTTGTGTGTGAGAGAGAGAGAGAGAGAGAGAGAGAGAGAGACCCTGTCAGAAGTTGAAGAAGATGAAGAGGGACGAGAGGGGAGGACGTCACAGACGGTACGGATAGAGGAAGAGGAGCAATCTCGCAGTAATCTAATTTCAGCGTGCGGAGGGCTTCCAGGAACGCGGCGTTACATTAGCGAATCACCTTCAGCGAAGGTCCCCCACGTACCTGGGTATCTACCCATGTCGTCCTGGTCTAGATCTACCTACGCTATCTCGTCTAGTTACTGGTGCTGGTCGAATAAGATTATTCAACGTTTGCATATCCCATCCTCGAGACCCTGGTTGATTTTGAAGGTAATAAAAAATTTTTAAAAATTTTCAAAATATATTACCTTGTTTGGTATATGAGTTAAATATTATTGCTTGATTCTCATATGTGATGCTACTTTACGATTTTACATTTTCTCACCGCATACTGGTTAACGTCTATGCGACTATACGTATAGGAAGGTTCACGATTCTCGCGTGACCCGTGAACTCTTGTACGTAACGAGATCTGTAATCCCCCTCCTCTCCTCTCTGTTGCCTCTTGGTACCTCTAATACCTTTCTTCTTCCTAGCCCTCCCCCTCCTAGAGCGTAGACTCTAGAAGCACCAAGGCGGGCAGCCTCCGGCCCTAATAAATTACACCTTTTATATATATATATATATATGTATATTTCTCTTAGTCTTCAGCAACCATTTGAGCAGTACCTACCTTCATAGTACCTAAGCTGGGTACCTTTCTTACTTGTTAGACAAGACGGATTGACAATACAAAAACTTATTACAGTTCCTCCATTCTCTGGAATTTATATCAATTGTCTCGTTTGCGATTAAAAATATTATCATGGCCGACTTTTGAATATTTCGGATCTAGAATTTCAATAGTTGAACATTTCGTCGGGTCACTTCCGGCATGTATTATTTTGTATATAAATTTAAGAGACAGATAAAATTTTTTTTGGAAATTTGAAATTACATAAAGGAGGGTTTATGGTGCAGGGTGATACCTCATTGGTCCAGAAACTGTAAGGGGGTTTGTAAGTGGTCACGTTATTACCAATCGTAGCCCTCCTAGAGTACCCTGTTGTCCCTGGGGCTGGGATAGGAGAACGAAGGGTCCGTGAGGTTGAGTTGTTGGAAGAAGGGAGTAAAAATGGTAGGGGTACCACGTTGAGCGTGCCACCATTGGTATAGATATATAACAGAGGGCAAAAGGGTGGCCGAGTATTCTTAGAATGCCACGAAGAAGACCCCAATGTCCAACGTCCACTTCCAAGTGGCCAGTCGATGCTACGGAATGGCTGAAAGGGACAAACATGCTTCGAGTTACATTTTATTTTCTTTTTTATTCTCTTTTTTCTTTCGAGTTTGCAACATCGAGAATACTTTGTATATAAATGTGACTGTACCAGAAAATCATATACGTAAGGTATATATGGGATCGTCCGTTATTGAAATGTTTTAAGAAAATACTGGACATTTTGAAAAATATATAAAAACATATGAACACATTTTTGTACTCACGGTTACGCACGTCTACGAGCTTGAAAGATAATTCCTGGTAGTGTGCACATTTTTCTGATTCTCGTTGTGATTGTAAAGGTCTGCAAAAAGCCACGGGAGATCACCACGCTTGGAATCTAAGCGAACGTATGGGGGAGGAATACGTGTATATAAATGAGACATGTATATCGACGCCATTGTTCTAAAGTCGTGACAGCGCCAGGTCAGGAACGCGTGTTGGATGGGGATGGAGGTCCAATGGGATGCCCCCATGCATTAGCATACACTCGACATACTCCCGATTCTCGTTTCTCTATCAGCATCTTAATCTACCACGATAACATACATATAAGAGATAAATATTTATCCAAAGTGCACTGAGGAGCTTCCTTATTAGAAGAAAAAATACAGCGACCAATCAACCGTCCGCTTGAATAGTTTGCCTGGAAGAGCCTCCTAGAGCATAGAGCGAATAAGAAGCTAGTAATGATAGAGCTAGGACAATCGGAGGATAAAGTAGTTAACTAGCGCCACGAGGGCTATGCGGATAAGTATTGCAACCTGCGGGTTACATTAGCGACGTGGTACAATTTTGCAACGCAGAGTTGGCAGCGCGCCAGCGCCATGTATCATGGCGCATTGGAATTCGTTGTTCCTCGTCTCGTTACCGGAAAGTTTTTCATTTTTCTGCAGTCGACGCCGCCAGTATCATCACTAGGTCTACTATTGGTGTCAACGGCGCCAATAGAGGCAATTCTGATAATATCCAAGTAACCCACCAGCTATACGTGTAATCTATAAGGCGCCGGTAAGTATCCATGTATATGCATCTGTATCAAGTATACGTATCGAGTGTCATGTAAAAGCAGAGCGTGAGTCTCCTCCCTCATATATTTATATTCCAAGGGTATCCCGTTTCCCCACGTTACGCGGCGGCACATGATATAATAATGGGGCCAAACTAACCTACCCCAATAGGAAAGGAGCTTCGAAACGGAGGGTCGTAAACTCCCTTGGTCCCGGTCCTCCCTCGACTCACCCCGAGAAGGATGAGGGTGAAGCTGAGCGAGGGTGAGGAGTCGTCCCAACACCCTATCAGACAACCCTAACCTATCCCACGACTGAGTGACGTGGTGAGAGAGGTAGGTTAGTACTTTAGCGGGTAGGGCGATAGGGTGAGAGTCAGGCCGCCCCTTGTGCCACAGAGACACACTTTTGCCCGACCCACCCTAACCCGGCCTACCTACACCTACCACCCCCTATAGCCATTCGCGTTTCCATTCTCCCTTCTATCCAACTTCACGGCTCTTCCGTTTTTGATCGTTTCGACTGTATAAATCGATCCTACCTTATTTCTTTTCTTTTCTACTGTTTTCACCAAGTTTCTTTAACTTCCTCTTCTTAATACTTTTTTTTTCTCTTTGCACACTAGAATCTGTGGCGTCGCTGCTGTATCCACTTTCAGCAGCTTGATGAAGTAGAGCTGGCATCTTGTCTATATAGACAGATACCCTTCGACGTCGAAGTCCAGAAAAGCTAAAGGTAAATTCACGTCCATCGACTCTGAGCTTTCACGGCAAAACGACTTTCCTGTGGATAAGCGGCTTAAGACGCAGTCTGAGACCAGATGCAATATCCTACGTTCGAATTAATTAGTTCGAAGCGGGAAAAGCCGCGGGTGGCTGGAGCGGATAGAAGATGGGGATAGGGCGTGAGAGTGCCCGTGAGCTCAGTATATCTGCCCATGAGAAGGACAGAGATAGAAACGGAAGTCCTAAGTCCACCCGGCCTGGGTCCTCACTTGGAATAATTTTGTACCCAGGACATGTAGTAAACTTTCGAACGATAAGGTCCTTGCTAGGATTTCCTTATAAAATAGATAGCCAGCATACGATGCACTTATCTAGATGGGAACCTGTTAATGAGAATTCTAAATATCCACGTAGCCATTAATTTCCGTTTCATCGGTCTTATAAATAATTACGTCAACGATAACATTGCTGAGTTCATTAACTAAAATCCAAGAATATTTTCCATATACAAGAATATTAAAATACAGCGACACGTAAAGTAACCCCCTTTTGTAGGGTGCATAATAACCTAATACTATTATACTTACAGAGTGGATATCGACCTTTCAAAGAGACACACTAACTTTCGGACGTACACAAAATTACCTAACTAGGAGTCTGAGGTACGTAAGGGCTGAAGGATGAGGAGACATAAAACTCAAGGATGGGTTATCTAAAGAAAATCCGTACCCGCCGCAAGGAACTCCTACCCTTTTTACAAGCGACCTTAATTTTACTCGGCAAATTAGATTGGCGAAAGATTCGATTTGAATTTTAATCCCGTTCGAAGTCAGAACGGAAGGTGAAAGAGGCTGCGCGCGAAAAGGGAAAGAAAAAGAAATAAAGGAAAGCAGAGAGGAGAAAGTAAGAGGTAAATTATCAAAGAATATTTTCTACAGAAAAGCGGAAGCAAGTCCCGACAGCACCTTTAACCTTTTCCAACCGTCCAACCCGATGCGACCATCTTGACCCGTCCTATCTTTTACGCTTCGGCGTACCCTAGTCTTCTTTTAGAGCGTCGTGACGTAACAACGTCTCACACACGGCCAAGAGATACGACGTAATACTTACCAGCACAAGGACAGCAACGCGTACCTTGAAACCTCGAGTACGTCCACCACCACCACCACCATCTTCCAGGGTCTTCCACGTCTCCACATGCTCACCGTAGCTTCACCAGCCGTCCAATGTGTAACGTAGTGCGAGGATGAGACCGACGCCGACGTCGCACTTCTAACACACGTATACTCATCACACAGCCAGAAGCGTCTACTTCGCTGACACCGTCGCTCAGCCCGTCAATACACTTTGCCGAGGAGATGTTCCACCAAGTTGGCTGCCTGGCTCCTCTCGTGGACATGCTTCATATCCTTTGGGCCTTTGGGCAATGAACGCTGCTACCACTGAAGTTCTGTTTTAGTGTGCGACCAGACATATTGGTTCTGCCAGGATGCTTAGAACATAGCAGCTGTCAACCTACTTGTACCTGGGTAAAATACGTACCTTCGGGGTAGACGTCTTTGTAGCTTGGAAGGAACCCTCGTACGAAGTGCTAGGAGAAGGCTTTAAGGTATTTATAGATTTTTTGTTTTACATGTTAGCTCTTTTTATTTCATTTATCTTGAGGATTTTGTTTGTAGGTTGGTACTTGTTACTTCTGTTATTCCTGGAGTGATTGACATAGAGACCACCTGACGCTACCAGAAATACTGTCGATGTTCACTTAGGACTCATCTAGTGCTACCTGGTGCTTGTAAACGTGACTCCACGATACGATACCAACGTGCAAGGTTCTACCTATGGTTTAACGTATCATGACTGTAACAAGGAGCGTATAAATCCCCTGCGATACCGCAGATCGCATCTAGACGGTCAAGGATGATGGTGAGGAAGGATTGTAGCTGACAGGTGGACCTGGGAGATTCCGGGATGGAATGATTTTTCTTCTAGGATATTGTAAAAATAATTTTTTAATGGCTGAAGGACAACGATTACATAAATAGGGTTATATCATCTTTTTTATAAGAATATTTATGCTTTGGATTATCATTATTTTTAATTGTACATAAACGAGGTTTTTACTTTTCTTTCGTTCATCTTTGGTTCCCGGACCGTTCTGGTTGGATGCTTCACCTCAGGAAAGTTTCCAGCTAGTCTGCATAAACATCACGAGCAAAAGTGAGAGTGGTAACGTCAGCCGAGTTAAGTTTCAGCTCTAAAAAGGACAATGCCAGGATAATAACGCTGTAGGAAACTTCGTGCTGTAAGAAACCAGCTATACCATAGGTAAATTTAATTAATCTTTCATCTCCATAGAAATAGGAGACTCCTATTTAATCGCATAAAAAAATAATAATATGCATTACGTACAAATATACGTTATCCTTATTGATATTTCAGAATATACATTAATCATTTCAAGAAAGTAATGTATACATATAAATTCCCTACTGGTGTGATGGAACGGATCTATATTTTTCGTCGGGTAGCAACGGACCTTTATCCTGGAGACTCATCTTCCTAATCTAGGAGAAAGGCGTAGTGCCATCGATACCAGTGGAAAGTCCTGGTTGCAAGCGGGCACTGGGTGCAACCAGGAGTGGGCACTTTTTTCCCGTTGAGAGATAGGGTCTTCTGGGTGTGTAAACCCTGTTACTTATGGAGGCCATTCCGGTCTGCGGGCTCGGCGGCCTCCGGCTGAGGGGTTTTAAGGACTTAGCTCGACATTAGCGTCCCAGGGGCGAGTTGCACCAGCAGCAAGGGGGATCGGTACCGGCTGGATAGGGCCACAAGGGTTGAGTGGGTTCAGAAGGTTCGCAGGAGACCGTCCCAGAGAAGGGGTCGAGGGCCAGAGAGTTCTGGGTACAGATGGGAGGACCAGAAAGGGGGATGTGGGATGGATGTGCGGCGATTTGGTTTCCAATCATGGGACGACGGGACGCGCCTCTATCGAGCGAGCAGGGCTCCGGCCATCCAAACCCATCCCCTATTCTATCCCCTAACCCCTACCTCATCCTAGCCCATCCCGACCCATCCTACGGCGTCCTACCTCATCCTCCTTTGCTTCGAGCCATGTCAGTGCTGGTGCAAACCAACCCAACCCAAACTCTCCTTCGCCTGCACCTCCAAGTCTCAACGAACCACCACCCACTTTCAACCCTAGGCCACCCTCGACCACCCTTGCTCTGGCTCCTCCACCGCTACTGCCGACGTCGTCGACGACGACGACGAAGACGATGGCGACGCCATCCCTGTAGCCTCCTCCACCATCTAGTGCACACACACTTCTGGACCCTCGATGTCGTCCGCACTTTCCCGCAGCAGTCCCCAACCTAGGCCAATCTGCAACCCTTCCGGTCTTTAATTATTGCGGGTCTGCTACCCTCCCCCTGCACGTTTTATCCCTTTGGTATCTCTTCTTTCCACACTCGAAAATTTCTAATCACGATCTTCTGATACAATTTTTTTTTTTTTTTTCTTACTTTCATTTACATGGTACAGTACGATGACTGATATGCGACGCTTTATATTTTCCTATATATATATACAGTAGCTTACCGTTTGAGGACATTATAAGATAAAAAGAATGACGGTTAACTTAGTGCTTGGCTTACCACTCTCAACTTATTTCCTATGAACTTTAGTAAAGTAACTTCGCTTCCGGCCCTCCTGTCCTCCTAGGATTCTTGATGTCTTCCAGTACGGAAGGATCCTCACAAAATGATCCCTGATTCAAGCGCTGAGAAGCATTCTAATGTCCCAGAGAAATTCAGTGAAATCATAGCCAGACGAAAGAGCACGACCCTTCGCAAAGATGTTTCGCGCACTTCCTTCCTGAGTCCCCGTTTCGTATCGACGTCCCATGACAGCGTGATCTCTCGAGAAATATTTCTGCTTCTTATTTACATCCAGATGGAACCTAAGATCCGAATACTCCTATACCGGAGTATTTTATCGAACGCCAGTTTGACCCAGAGACACGAGTACGACGGCAAGTGCATACGTACACAATATACTCTCGTAAACGGAACTTCCCTTATTTACACGCTCTCATTGTTTACAAGTTGACTGAGGGTGGGCCCGGGATGGAAAGAGGGTCGTTGCAAGTGTTTTTCACCGACCGTCACAAAACGCATCCCCTGAACTCGCTGAATCCTCTGAACTTATTCCCCCGTCACCCCTCTGTCCTTCGTACCACCATTTATGATTCTTCAATTAACTCCATTCGCCCTGTTCTTTACCCACTTACACGTATTCACCTATATTTCTGAAAAGCAGCTCAACCACCCATGGCTCCAACCCCAATGCCAAATATAGGTACAAGAGTTTCCTACCGTACCCCTTCCTGCTGGAACTCTGTCTAAATATATTATAAAAGTTTACTCCCAGATACCGGATATCCGGGAACGTGTGAAATAAATACGACCTCAAGTAAATCGTGACGTAATATCAGGACCAAGATCGTAAAAGCATTTTATGCTTGATCCACAGTGTCTAACTGCGCAAGACCCTTCATTTCAATGAACAATACCCCCCGCAAAGATGCCCTTAATACCCGTCCCTGAGTCAGCTCCAGGGTAGCACTCGACTACAGGGCGCTGCAGTTGTCGCAAAGTGCGTAGGGGTTGAGCACCCGTTTGATGCCCTACATAGCGGAGACTGTTGGAGGCCGTGGGGGGGTGTTCGGAGGGTGGCTGGGCAGGGACGAAAGTGGGCGTCCGGGAGTGGGTGGCGGGGGGATGAAAAGCGGTAGGCAACGTAGGATGAGGTTGAGGAGGAGGTGGTGGCTCGACAGCGGGGCGGTGGGGTGGCTCTTTGGGGCTCTGAAAATGCAGCGTAATTTGTCTTTGTCTGGTGGAGGCGAGCGCCGGCGGTAAGGCCGAGGGGTAGGTATAGGTTGTGCCGAAGGGTGAGTACGAGGATGAGGTTGAGCATGAAGGGTGCGGGGCCAGGAGGTGGTACAGAGTTCGGCCGTGGGAAGGTGGCGGAGAACCTCGGAGAAGCCGGAAGGTATGGAGGCGCTGGAAGAGTGAGCTCGAGGTTGTGGGTGGATGTGGAGGAGGAAGAGGTTGGTCGAGGTGGAGAAGGAAGGTGCGCTAGGCTAGGGGGAGATTCCGTGCTTGACCCGCCTGGGATCGATGCGTTCGTCTGCCAGAACGCCGAGCCGAGACGCCCGCGTCCTTCCTTCTCCTCTGCTTCGTCTGCCTTTCCCCGACGAAGCTGCCTCCGTCGCCTCCAACGTCGCTCGTCGGCGCAACGCACACGCCGTTAACCGCACTGCAACGCGTTGCACGCTATACCGTCTCAGTACGGTTACCACTACCAGGATACCCTTGACGACCACCAGCACGAACACCGGAGCACCACCACCATCATCGGGAGCAGCATCGTCAGGAACTACCATCCGCCACTGCTACGAACGCACGGTACTACCACTTCTACTGGTATTACTCGCTAGACTCACTGGGTACTCTCTGCCCTCAGCGGCACACGAACCTCTCTCTCTCTCTCTCTCTCTCTCTCTCTCTCTCCCGTCATCTAGCCCGGCTTCGACCCTCTTCCGCTTTGCCCCAACTATCTACCCTCCCTGGCACCCTCTCGCTCTACACCCTCACGCAAACCCAGCTCCTAGGAACCACACCCCGAATATCGAGCCGACGTCGCCAAATGTTTTTGAGATAGCACTTGGATAACGAGCCGATGCCCTGAGGTTGTCGAAAAAGCCTACAGCCAATTTTCGTATACGCATTCGAAAATATTGATTACTCGTAAGGAGATGCTTTACCCCGACGTTCGATATTTTCCACTTTTAACCGTGAAACCCTAGATTCTTAATTCAATGACGTTTCTTGGTCGTCCCACGAGTTCGGACTACGGTTCCGATCCTCCCGTGCATATTTCGACAGTCCACTTCCCCTCGACCGCTATCCACACCTTCGCCTCGTATTATACAGCGATAACAGTATCTCCCATCACCTACGAGGAACCGGGACGCCCAATCGTGTATACGTACGTATGCATATGCAAGAAGAGTGATGGGTGTAGAAAAGGTTCAATATATATTCAACGTTGAGAAGTTTCACGATTCGAGTGGATAGGCAGGAGGTATGCGCATGAATGACGATGTGGAGGAGTGGATGCATCTACATATGTGGATAGGCGTGAGAATGGTCCATCAGAGAGAATAGGGGATGAGCATTCTACGGCGTGGAAGAGGTTGAACAAAATGAAAAAAGCGAATAGGGTTTCGTTTGATTGTCATGGCTGCGATACACGTGGGTCAGAACCCACGTGGATAGCGATAAACGTCAGGTACGAAAATTTTACATTGATCGTCAATGAGATATTTTTTATATAAATTTTTTTATACAAATTTCACTCGAATCGTACGTCGACCCACATCAAGCATTATATTATGATGTAAATGTATAAGGGATGAATTTTTATAGCTCTCTGCAGTCTATAAGTTTCTGTCTTATCCGTGCGATAAAGTTTACAGCGTCTGGTTGAACGGTTTCTTGACATCCCTTGTTGGTAGTAACCAACCCCCTACAGTTCTGCGACCTTTCAACGCCATCCCTTATACCTAAGGCGCATATGTGCCAAAGGGGTTGCACTTCCTGTAGCACAGTTCTTATGCTCGGAGCAGCGTCGTTATGCAATAGAATTGTATTGTGCAGCGATGGGCACAGCTGACGTAAGGCCACGTGACTGAAACAGGGGTAAACAAAATATTTACACGCGAAACGCGCCCACGTAATGTGACCAACGATCGATCAAGTAATTCAGGATTATAATATACCGGGTGTAAGCGTAACAAGCGGAACGTATCGAGGTAGTTGAAATTTTCATGCGTTATTAAATAAAATGAATATTACCACGTTTACTGAAATATCGATTTTACAGGCGTATAAAAGAAAAAAATTTCTTTCGATCCATCGGCAATAGATTATTCAATGTGACAAATACAGTGCTTCACGTATACAGGGTAAGAATATATCGTCGCGTACATATTTTCATTATTCACGCGAGACTCGTACGTGCAATTAAAATCAATAGCGTTTAATGTTACCAAGCAAATATCCCGATATAACTGTCGCTCGTCGGTTCGCTCTATTTATATATTTAAATCCACAAGAAATTTGCCATTTTTTTAACTTGCGCTAAATTTTTTTCATAATTATACTTATTTTATCGCCTAACGTCCCGTCCCTATTATCACGCGTGTGTTCCTTATTACCGGTTTCATTTGTACGTACGTTGAGTTTAGCTCAGCAAAAAAAGAAATACGGTAACCCACCACCCGCCATTAGCCAACGCGTCGTATATAGTATCCCTATATAGTAGGAATGGTTTACATGTAGATACACGCGTCTTTAACAGAGACAAGCATCGCGTTATTGGATACATCTTCTCCATACCAGTTTGCTCCCAAGGAAAACGCAATGCCAGCGGAATCCGGCCCCGTCAAGTTCCGGGAAGAAGCGCGAAGTTCCGGCTACGCATTGTAGTAACGTGTCTCGGGTTGGCCCGCTGAGACAAACTAAACCATGAACTGCCTTCCGAGAGGCCTATCCATCTTCGGGAAGGCTCCCACAGACCGGAGCACGTTCATCGGTACACTCCGTGTGGAAAGTATGTACGTATATAAATATGTAGGTACACTGGAAAGACTTAATTCGAACGATAAAAAAAAAAGGATTACGACAGATAAGAATTGCGATGAAAAATATGTAAATAAAAATGCAAAATTTTTTTTTCATTTTCATACCCTACCAAGTACGTGATATTTTGGAAATGGGTTCCCCTACTACCGGAAAATAATGCACGCTTAGGATGACGGTCGCAGTCAGCGAATTGGACGAAGCGAATGGACTTCGTGGAAACTCGAATAAAGCTTTTGTAATTTCAGCATATTTTTTCCTTTAACTTCTGGCAATGATCGCCCGTGCTGCCACCTATCTGGAGGAACTTCTTTCGAACGTAATATACAGTGTAGCGAGTGGTTGAAATAAGCGGATGACTAATTCAATCGGATATTTAAGAATTATGTGGTCGACTGTTCTCTGTTTTGTGGTTACGGTCGTGAATTATGGTTATACAATTTATATATTTTTATAACAGAGAAATAATCAGGCTGGTCTTATAGGTTTCACCACTAAGGACGCGACCTTCGGTTATGCTCAGGGTAGACGAAACGACGCGTCCCATTTCTCGTGAAGTTTACGAGTTGTCCAAACTGTAAATTCTTGGACAAGTCGGTCATTACCGTAAATTACTAAAGAAAAATATTCGTTGCATTCTCACAGCCGTGTCACGATGTAAATAACGCGTACGTGCATTGTTCCGCTAGGTCGCGCAACCCGTCTCCTTTGCAATGCAGCCAGGTCGTTGTAGTAAGTTTTGCGGATGTTGAGAATGAGATTTGAAAAAAAAAGTTTTTTAAAAATACAAAAATAATTAAAATCTACAATCTCTAGGTACGTCCTAGATATAGGTATACTATCATTGAACATACCATACACATAGTTTAATCCCTATGATCGCCAGCCATCCGGACTCTACGGTCCCCAGGTGTAGACAGCGAAATTATGTTTTTACAAAATTTCCATCCGGACAGATTGCCACGACAGATTAGACAATCGTTACAAAAGCTTCGCAGTGCTTTGAGGTAGGCGTAGGATGATCGCGTGGTCGCTCGAGCACGTATGCCAGAATCGGCCGTTCAAGCAGCCAATCGTCGATGGTGCACTGGTCAAGCGTAGAATATATAGACAAAACTGGTGGCGCCTGGTTGTCTGGGTACCTTACAGTTAAGCTCCCCATGTAGGGTACCCTGCTTGTCCTACCTGCTTGCCGTTACACGTATATTTTGTGTATTTTTACCCGAAGCTCTGGCGCACGTTCTCTCTCTCTCTCTCTCTCTCTCTCTCTGTAGTGTAATTGGGTGTGAAATGAAATCTAACGAAAACCCCTTTAGGCGTGTGCACAGTCGCTCGGCTGTCGAGAGCAGCCTGTCCCTGTGCTCTTCGTATCAGCAGGATTGCTTCCAGGTGCGCAACGTGAGCGGTTTACGATCAAATAGTTCCAACTTTTTGTCAGTATCCAACCTCCTCGCGTTTTACGCTACCTTTTCGAACCACCCATCTCGTATATCTATACAGGGATACGAGTGCCATTTCCCACTGTATACATACCGTACTTATACGGCTGTTGGGTGTAGACAGAGTTACAGCTGAAATTCCTTGTTTCACTTCTTCTACCCTTGTTTCTCTTCGGTAATAATGTTTTTACAATGCTTAGACTACCCGAAGACCTGCGATTGTCCTGGATCTCCGTAAGACGATGCTAATAACGTAATTCCTTAAACGAATAAAAAATTATTATTGTACGATTAGTAATGTCTGAACCATAAAACAACATAGACAAGAAAAAGAAGTCCTATGGTGTTTTAAGTATGAATAATATTTACGTTGGCTATACGTTACCTGGACGAATGAACGATGGGGGACCTGGTCAGCAGGTGGATTATCATTGAGCGAATACAGTTAATGGTGTTGCTGATATAATTGATCCGAGCAAGGAGTACTCCCGTGTAGCAGCTCATGTAAACAAAACACATGAAAAAGCATAAAACTGAAAGTTTATGGGCAAGTGTCGTCGAGTACTAATTCTAAGGTAATTGTACCGCACTGGACAAATACGAGCATTGGAAACGAAGCCTTCTTGACTCCTTTGCGTTTTATTAGCCTCGTAAATAGCGCTAGCTCCTCTAAGCGGAAGTAGCCAGATACAGCTTCCAATTATGGAGCGTTTTCGTAGCGGCGAGTATTAAGAGTGAAATGCCAAGACGGTAGGTAGTCGCTGTGCTGGAGCAATTATTTTGTTAAAATTACTCAGCGAACATTAACCTCCTTGAATCCTTGTGTAACTCAAGCGACGGAATGAAGGTTCAACGTTTTGCATGTGAATCGACCTTAATCCAGTATGCAGTAATGTCAATTTCATTACACGTGGCTGATACCTATATTTTTATATAATACAGAATATTATTTTACAATCAGTAATATCTCAAGTATATACCGCGTTTGATCAAAATTTTGTGATGATCAAAATTAATGTATCGGCCATATGCCGTGTATACACGGTAGCAATAAAGTAACGAACCATAAAGTGAATTGCGAAATTAATATATTTCGAATCCCGTGGACCACGTCCCATTGAAATTTCGTCGTTGAACGTTGGGTTAATTTCTGGCATTTTTAGTTTTCAAATATTTATCCGCCATCCCGACAATCGAAATCCTCGTCCTCGTGGAGCGTGAATCGACGGCCGTGTGATTCAAACGAGCGATCGTGTCCGTGAAACCACGAATTTTTTACTTTTCATTACTGTAGAGGCATCCGTTATCTCCGAGCAAGGCTTTCGAGGCCAGTAGTTCCTCTTTTTATTTGCTAGTGCCACTGTCACTAATTTGTCGAGAGAAAGCTGGAGAATAAAGGTATGATGTATACATATATATGCGTAGACATAAAAAAATTTACACAGCTGGACCGCAAGACTCTTTTAACGACACTCTTAAACTCTAAATACCTAAATTCTTGTAATATCCATAAATCATACTACACGAATAAAATACAAATATGCATATATATATATATATATATATATACACATATATAATACATACCACTCAAAGCATGAAGTTTCACGCAGCAAGAAAAGCCTGTATAAAAACACCATAAGGGATTTGAGTTTGAAATAATCACAAAGTGCAAAGGTCAATCCGCTGTCAATTCCCTCGAATCGACGTCAAACAATCTCACCGACAGGTCTCTCTGGCCTCACCGTATATTCCGGATCCATTAACGTTCTTAGGGAGAGAGACAATCATACGTAGATACACATATCCCTGTGCGATACCAATGGCAGATGCACATCCAGTTAAAAGGCCGGCGTACGATTGCGTTAGTCCCAGGGATAAAAACGTTAAGAGTGAAGCATAATGATCAGACATCGCGGGTCGGCAAAGGGAATTCAATGATGCCAACCGACGGTCGATTCAATCTCGTGGAAGTGTTATTAAGGTTGGCGCCTCTGGCCGCGGGCGACTTTGTAAATAAAGAAGCAGAAGGCTGCGCGTGCGGGCGTAGTAGGCAGTTCCTAGGCATTCCTAGTACTAGTGACAGTGTATATACTAATGTGACGCATATGTCCTCTTACGCTGTAAGTACTAATGTCCAATGGGTGCCCTTCTCACGTCTCTTATGAGCTTCTTTGTCTACTTACATATAACAGAGACTAAAGCCGTCTCTTTCTGTCTCTCGTAAAGGGAGAGCCATGTGGCGCGGCGATTCAGACGCTAAGCATTCTAACCTAACTTAATGCCGTGGACGTCTGTCTTGTACCAACAGATGCTACGAGCATGCATAAACATAAACGCGCCTACCTACGATCCTTGGCTACCGACCTACGTGCGATCAGCATGCGTACTAGAGTACCGTACATATTAGTAATTGTGCCAATGGTGTTTGTATGGCTAAGTTCACGGAGGAATATGTGGCCACGGACGTGTCAGTGCAGTTGGATTACACGTAGGCCGATCACAGCATGGATGTTTGGAGGTTAGCTTTGTATTTTGTTACTTAGATATCTGGACAAGATCGAGAGTGTATGTACGTAGTTGGTTAAGGATTGTATAACTAGTGAATCGAAAAACGGTAGGCAGTACGACGGCGTCGCGTCGGGTCGTGCCGGATCTAATCTGGCATCTCGCATCATAACAAAGAAATTAATGTTCGCGTCTCGTGGACTTATCTACGATCCTGAGGCAGATACAAATTGCCAAGCCGCGTTCTAAAAGTGCGAGGTGGAACGCGTAATATTACAGGCTCGCGCCGCGATTATCCTCAGGACCGATCTCCCTGTCTTTTGAGGCTTCCTGTTTTCTTTTCTCTCATTCTGTCCTGCTCTCTCTCTCTCTCTCGCTCGCTCGCTCTTTCTTATCTACCGGGAGCGTCCTTTGGACAAGTGAAGTTTTGCGGTTACCTGGATGCTGTTGCTGATTTCAGTAGAGGCTTAAGAGTTTAATATTGTTGGTACACACCACGGTCATCGATCTTGTCTCTTCGGTGGTCGGGCCTCGACTGTATTAAATTTTTATGATGCATTGTGATCATGACAAAATCAAGAATATTCGTAGTGTCGATGCGTGCCGCTAGGGGACAAAGAAGGTGTAAAAAGTATTTTAAATATGGATGGTGACGATCAAAAGAAGATTTTATTAAATAATTCAGCGTTAATGAATTACAAAATTATTCGAGTCGTTATATACGGATATAATGCAGTATGACAACGATTATGCAATATGATAACGAATAGGAGGAAGCTACGGCAGATGCATATATTGCATACAGAAGAGACTATGTGAACGTATCGATATGTGCAGGTATAATTTATCTAGCTAGTGCCGATACGTTTTATTTCATTAATACTCAAACACAGGGCGGCGGGGGGGGGGGTTAATTAAAATGGTGCGAAAATGAATAAACACTAGTTAAAATAGGAGTAAAGAAGTGAATTTGTTATAAATAATTTATACGAATTAGAGAGCAATTGGTTACTTCGCAGTATTGATTGTGGCGTTAAAAAAACCAAGCAATGAATGCAGATTAATTGGGCGAATTGTTTATGACTGTTAAAAAACAATTATAAATATTTCCGTCAAAATTTCCAGAATCTGTCAATTATTTACAAGGGATTCAGAGCGATCGATGGACCACTATTTGCGATACCTATTTCTGATCGCTCTCGTTGGCTACACTGACAGTTACATTTCGCGAATCTACATCGGGAGTCGTCTGCATAATACATGCACTCCGTTGCAGCAGTCAAATCATTCGGAGAACCCAGTTCAGGTTACGATTCATAAAATACAGTGCCGCGACCTAATTAAAGCCATAAATAAATTAAAGCGAAATAAAAAAAAAAGAGTTACAAGTGAAAATTTTTCAAAATTGCAAAAAAAAGTGTTTACCCCCAACGCGCAACGCCACTCGTGGATTTCGAGAAGAATACCACCTAAATCCAAAGACGTCGGACGTCGCTGCAGGCATTCCAGTCCCAAGTCGACCAAGACGTCTGGCACATTTCTCACGGGTGAAAACCTGCGAGCTGCAACATACGAAAGCGTCTCGGCGAAACAGTGCGAATTTCTCGAATGGCTCTAACGAAATTATTAAACGTTGCGCTGTATAACGCACAGCCCCCGTTACGTAATTTCAAACAAGGAAGACGAAAGGGCTGCCGACCGTGTTTGTAAAACGAAACAAATGCACAGAAGTAGCTATTATGCAGCTGCACAGAGAACTTCTGAATCCCCTACAATAAGGAAGCATCGAAGCAACTCGACCTTCAAAGACTGCACTGCCGTCTGATGCACGTTAATTATCATTCATAGATGCACATGCACGCTGCAAAGATGAATAGTAACAATTAAGATGCAATTCTCATCCTCTTCCTGAAATTGCATAATATTCCTCCCAGACGTAGTTCCCTTAAAAAAAAAAAAAAAAAAAAAAAAAAAAAAAAAAATCAAGTCAATGACGCAAAGGATTCTGTAAAAAAAATCTGAACTGAAAATAAACAAAAACAAAAAAGTGAAAATATTTTCTAGGGACTTTTTCACCATTAAATTGCCAACAGTCAACAAGCTGCAGACACCTCAACGTGCAAACCCGTAACGATCCGGCTTACTTTATTTTTGCCTGAACGAAGGGCCTCTCGCTATGGAAAATGGCCGAAGGCAGTAAGCTGGTACCTATGTACCCACAATGCTACCAGGACGCTGCTACGTTTACGCGTCCGTCCCGTAGCCTGCCCACTTGCTCCTCGTAACGAACCGTTAAACGCTTTACAGCCTGTTATACACTGTAAAAGGAAATTCGAGATGGCAAAACGACCCAGGATCCAGAGCAGACACAGGAAGGTGTTACGTGAAAGAATTATATCTCAGGTACACTCGTGACTACGTAACCAATGTCTTAGTACATAGATGGGATAAAGACAGAAGATATCTGCTCGCATACCGTCATAGAAATGCTACTTAACTCCTGATAGCTTAATGAAAAATATTTTTAATCCGACTGCATAAACACGTAAGATTAAAGCAGCGACCTTTATTGTAATAACATTGTATACTATATGTTACATTTACTGGACGTTCTTACGGTACCCGCTAAGCCGTATATATGACTACAGGTTAGAACCGTATAACAGTTTGATACTAAGGATATCTTAATGGAATAATAATAATAATAATTTATCCGGGTTCACTGAATAAATAAAATATTCACGACCCTTGTAACTTTATACGAAATCAAATTCGAATCTGTTTCTTCGTCCTGGCAAAGTGACTCAAGATATCCCATGATTGGTTATACTATACGTAAAGAGCAACTCCTTGGATTCTCGTATTACGCAATTGGCCAGATTTCTGCGGATTCTTCGGCGTGGATGAGCACGTTGCTCTTCAGGCACATCCTCTGCCAGACTATCGCGTGCCTATCGTGAGATTTCTCTCAGGGACGAATATAGCCAGCTGATCATCCTTTGTCATATATATATGTTACCCATAGTGTACCGGTATACACAGCGAAGTCTTTTGAAAATACAGAAAATTATTGTGATGAAAAAAAAAATATTTCTAAACACGTGTGCGACTCCTATCCAGGAACTAGGAATCATAATAGAGGTAGGTGATCCGTCTAGCGATCGCTTGGCATTTACACAGCTTTACCCGGCGTGATACATAGTACATATTATATAATAGGTACCTGCTGTACGCGATATAACGCAGTACCTGAACCGAAAGAAAGTCAGCTGGTGGATTCGGGAGGCGTTATGGAATTAAGAAAATATATACAGCCGGTAGTAAAGATCTACCATAATCATAATGATATCCTCGAAATATCGAATTCCAAGAGAGGCGCCTGATAAGGTATCTCGAAGAATCTAAGAATCAACGCACTCATGTTGTTAGCCTATACACAGTGCTAACACGGAATTACGAGCTTCCTGTTCTCCCGTCTAAGTATGCATACCGTACCGATACGTATCTCCTCGTGGCGTCGCGGCGTCTTCTGTACCCGCTGGCAATTTCCAGGAAAGTTAATTGCTCACGCACCGCCGCAGGGAAGGGCGAATAAAAAAGTGCGACCGGCTAATCCGAAAGCACCGAACCTGGATCAAAGTCGCTGGATCGTGACATCTTCTCATAGACTTTAGGCTGTCTGGGTTAATCTCGTCTCGAAGTCAATTAGTCAGGTTAGATTAGTTTCGAATTTAAGCCTGTATATATGGAGACAAACAAACTTATACGGACTTTGACTGTATACGTATATATATATCTTATTCAAACCGATGCCTGAGTAAGGATCGTGATTTGGATTCTGATCGAAGATCGGGAACGTTCGAGAAAGATCAATAGAGTCCCGCGAGATTTTTCCACGTGGTACCGGACTTTTCATCTGGAAGGGAACGCCGGGTATAAATTTTGCAGCCGGATGGAAAACCAGTTTTTCAAATTGCAAACGACCGCACGCGTCCCTACTTACTATCTGTGATTGGTAATCAAACGGTAAATCGAGAAAATGGGGAATTCTATCGATACCGTATAGA